ATTCTATTCTATTCTATTCTATTCTATTCTATTCTATTCTATTCTATTCTATAACATAGTTAAAACATACCCCTCCATCCAGGTGACAGACCAACCAACCTCCCAATTAATCCTCCATCCCAGCCCATTCTTTAGGGAGGGTGATGGTGGGTGATCTTCACAGCCTGGTGGAGGGCTAAAAGGGAAGGGGTCCCTTGGATCTCAAATGGGAGGCAGGTCCAGAAGGTTGAGGGGGCCACCAAGGAGACATCTGGATGCAACAGATGTTGAAAAAATGTTTCTTGGGCTTGATCTACTAGCCCGTTCTTGTATTCTTATGCCATTGTGTTGTTGGTCTTCGTGTTTCAAATCATCTTGCTTTTATGTTCTTCTCTAAGCTATTCGCAGGACCCATTATGTTGTTCAAAATAATCAGTTTGTGGTTAAGTACAAATTCCTGTTCATACTGCTTCGATTAATAATATATGGGTTACAGATTTATTTCATGTTATGTAAACTACATTTTTCTCTCGTAGTGGTCTGTTATAATATTCTTTGAAGTATTAATGTGCATTATAAAAGCTGCCAGGAATTCTTGAGCCCTTTTCCCCCCGTGTTTCAGTGAGTTATAAATATGTTGTTTAATAAATTAATTTCGTGGAGCGGTTTAGTCTTCAACTTACTACCACAGTTGAGCCCAACATTTCAAGTTGCTAAGGAAGACAGTTGTCCAGTGCGTTTTGCCCCATTTTACAACCTTTCTTGCCACAGTTATTAAGTCAGCCATTGTGGTGGTTAAGTTAGGAATACAATTAAGTGATTCTGGCTTCCACACTGACTTTGTCGCAAAAGGGGATCACATGACCTCAGGACACAGCAACCGTCATAAATATGGGTCAGTTGCCAAGCATTCAAATGTTTATCACCTGACCATGGGGATGCTGAAATGGTTGTAAGTGTGAAAAATAGTCTTAAGTCGCTATTAAGGTTTAATCATGGTTGTAAGTTGAGGACTGCCTGTGGGAAGGTGAGGTATGAGAAACTATAATTCATAAGCCATAAGCCATAATCCTTTGTAATTGACTACTTTATGCCGGCACAATTCAAAGTTGTTTTGCTTAATATCACCACCATTTTGGGTCCTTAACCTGTTGTCTTCCTTCTCTATAGGACTTTGCCTCTCGGGCAAAACTGGCCATCCAGAATTTGGTGCAGAAAGTCGGATTTTTCGGCATCCTGGCATGCGCTTCCGTAAGTTTTCATCCAAAAATGTGTTTAACCTCTTGATCCTATTTCCATGTGATTTTGTCCCTTGTGATGGTTTTTCTCTGTATTTTTCCTGAAAAATAGCCTCAGTCGTGGACAGAAAAAGGGTGGTGATTTGAATTGGAATTTATCAGTTGTGAGGTCCTTGGTGCTCTCTGAGCTGGCTTGTTTTCTTGCGGGCATTTCCTGGCCCAACTAGTGATAAGCTGTAGTCTCTCAAAATAACCCAAAACATACATTAAAGTCCGTTAAGTCCTTCAACTTAACTTTACTATTTTATTAGGCACAGTTTAAAGTCACAAAAGTAAATAATGAGGCAAAGAGAAAACCAAAACAAACCGCATTGACGAGAGTTCCGAAGCAAGCCAAGATAGCTAATCATAAACTCCAGGAAAATAACTGAGGAGAGTCCATGGGAAGAACGCCAGCAAAGATAAACCTCTTTCAAAGTAAACACTAAATTGACTCCAGCAATTCTGACTGTGCAGTTACAAACTTATATACATAGCTCCCAGCTGCAAGCCATGAGGTGGATCATGGTAATCTCCTCTTGAGTAGACCTCGCTTTTCCCTGATCTTCTCCTCTCTGCGTGACCTAGGATGGATAGGGGATGGACCTGGATCCTCCTCTGATTGCTCAGCTGGCCTCTGCCCTTCCCCAGCCTCCTCCACCACCTCTGGAGCCACAGTCCCATTCGCTGTTGGCTGTTCCTCCTCTTCCTCAGAGCCAGTCTCCACCAGGGGCATGACACTATCCCCCCTGCATGGCCCCCTCCCCCGGGACCAGGCGGACGAGGACATTGAGGAAACCGAGCGTGAAAGTCTTGGACCAAACGAGGAGCATGAACATCAGTGGCATCGACCCAGGTAAAGTCCTCTGGTCCATAACCTTTCCATGCCACCAAATACTGAAATCAACCCCGCAACTGGTGTGAATCTCAGATACTATCCACTTCGTACTCCTCCTCTCCCAGAGGGGCTACTGGGGCCAGCTGTGATGGAGCTGGTCTATGCGGACTGTCGGCCAAGGCAGGACTAACAGGGAATAATGAAAAACAGGATGGATACGCATGGTCCCTGGCAGGGAGAGACGATAAGCCACAGGATTGATCACTGCCTCGACCGGAAAAGGTCCCAAGTAATGTTGATCAAGCTTTTTCGATGGTCGCATCGTTGGTAAGTATCGAGTAGAGAGCCAAACCCGATCGCCTACCGCAAAAGGCGGAACATCGCGACGATGTCAGTCTGCAAATCGTTTATAGTCCTCCTTGGCTCTCTCTAGTTGATCGTGGACCATGTGGTGCACAGCTTTTAACTCCTGCAAGAACGTATCCACTGCTGGAACTGGGGAATCAGACGGGGCTAAAGGGAAAAGTCATGGATGAAACCCATAGTTAGCAAAGAAAGGGGACACATGGGTGGATGCATGTTGAGCATTGTTATAAGCGAATTCTGCCACCGGCAGCACTTCCACCCAATTGTCTTGTTGAGTATTGCTGAAACAGCAGAGGTACTGCTCCAAAATAGCATTCACTCTCTCTGTCCCCCCATCAGTTTTGGGAAGATGAGCAGACACGCCTGTACCTGCAGTTTTGTGAGTAGGGTCTGCCAGAAACATGCTGTAAATTGTACCCCTCCCCTGATCTGATACCATGTGGTCTGGTAACCCATGCAACTGGAAAAAATGGGATATAAACAATTGACAATTATCTTGGCCGATGGAAGACCTGCACACGGAATAAAGTGGGCCATTTTAGTCAACATATCCATCACCACCAAAATAGTTGTGGCACCATTCGATGGTGGTAACTCAATGATGAAATCCAATGAAACTGCCCCCCACAGTCGTTCTGGCATGGGCAAGGCCTGCAAGAGACCAGGGGCGTACCAGGAGCATACTTGGCTTGGCGACAGATCCCACAGGACGCCAAATATCCCGACACATCATGTTTAAGTCTCGGCCACCAAAATGTCCTAGAGATGAGGTGCAGTGTTTTGAACACCCCAAAGTGTCCCGCCACCAGACTATCATGACATTGACATAGGATAAGGCCACAAAGAGGACCTCCAGGCACGTAAATGTGATCACGGAACTGCAACAGGTCCCCAATATACGCCCAAGGAGTCTCTTGTCCCCCTTTCTCATCCAATTCTCGATGTCGAGCTGCCACAAATGGGTGCTGCTGCTGTGCCTCCTGAATCTTCACTCGGAGGTCCACAGGTTCCTTGGTGGCCACAAACCACTCCAACGGAATCACCGTCCGGGGCAAGATTTTATCCTCCCTTCAGGTATACTCAGGCATCCGAGATAGGGCATCGGCGCGTTGATTCCCTCCACTCGGAACATAGGTCACCTGGAAATCAAATCGAACGCAGAATAAGGACCATCTCACCTGACACTGGTTCAATGTCTGAGCTGTACGTAGGTGTTCCAAATTGCAATGATCCGTCCGAACCTCGATTTGGTGATGAGCCCCCTCCAGGTGGTGCTGCCATGTCTCAAAAGCGACCTTAACTGCCAATAGCTCCTTGACCCGAATCATATAGTTGCGCTCTGGAGCCGACAACTTCCAGGAATAATAAGCGCATGGAAACAAGGTGCCTGCGGGAGCATAGGTCTGGAGGAGCACCGCACCAACAGCTACATCGGAAGTATCTGTTTCCACCACAAATGGCTGGCCTGGATCAGGGTGCTTGAGGATAGGCTCGGAAGCAAAGGCGACTTTCAATGCCTCGAAAGCTGCCTGCTCCTCAGCACCCCAATGGAGCTTCTCCCCCTTGAGCAGATTAGAAAGGGGAGCAGTCAAGGCAGCAAAGCGGAGAATAAATGTGCAGTAGTAGTTCTCAAACCCCAACAGCCATTGCACATCCTTAACTCGCTGTGGAGGTTCCCACTCCTGCAACGATTGTATTTTTCCGGGTCCATTTCCACCCCAGCAGGTGAAATACGATGTCTCAAGAAATCAATCGTGGTTTGTGCAAATTGACACTTCTCACGTTTAGCAAACAGGTAGTTATCACACAAACGTTGCAACACCAGCCACACATGTTGCCAATGTTCCTGCAGGGAGTCTGAGTAAATTAAAATGTTGTCTAAATAAATGACCACGAATTGATCCAACAAATCACGGAAAACATCGTGCATGAAATGCATGAACACAGCTGGGGCATTGGTTAATCCAAAAGGCATCACGGGATACTCAAAATGCCCGTACCTCGTCTGGAAAGCTGTTTTCCACTCGTCCCCTGCATGAATGCGAACCAGATTGTAGGCCCCATGCAAGTCCAGCTTCGTAAAGATCTTAGCTTGAGGAAGCTGCTCAATCAGTTCAGGGATGAGGGGAAGCGGGTACCGATTCCTCACTGTGATTGCATTCAACTTGAGGTAATCACAACACAAACGTAGCTCCCCCGATTTCTTTTTTACAAAAAGCACCGATACAGCCAATGGGGAGGTAAAAGGCCAGATAAACACTTTCTGGAGGTTCTTGTCAATAAAATCCCGCAACGCGGCCAATTCCGGTTCCGACAGGGAATATATCCAACCCACTGGCAATTTTGCATCAGGCAGCAAGTCGATTGGACAGTCATATGCCCAATGCGGAGGCAACTGATCCGCCTCCTTCTCCCGAAACACATCAACAAAGTCCACGAACTCTGCAGGTGGATCCAGGTCCATGGGTGTAGCCACACTCCCTGCACAGGAGCGCAAGCAATGATTGGCACACTTCCTATCAAAGAACTGCACAGCTCCAGATGACCAGTCAATCTTTGGATCATGGACCTGTAACCACTCTAAACCCAGCACCACTGTAAAATGAGGCACTGCGGTAACGTAGAACACAGTTTTCTCCACATGCTGCCCAATACGCATGCAAAGGGGTTTGGTTGCAGCAACCACAGGTCCCGAACAAAGGGGCTGACCATCAATCGTCTCCACCATTACTGGCAGGGACACCTGTTGCTGAGGAATGAACCACTGCTCTACAAAATAAGCATCCATGAAATTAGCTGTGGCCCCTGAGCCGACCAAGGCTTGGATCTCCACCGCTCCCACACCATGCACGAACACACTTGCTTTCAGCGCAAGATGCTTCACCAATAACAATTGTGGTGGAGATATCAAAGGTGGCAAGGATGGCAAGGTTGGTGAAGATGGCGAGCCTAAGGACTTTACACCCCGACCTACAGACCCCCGTAGGCCGAGCAATGCTTGTTTCTCACCACCACAGGCGTCACTGGTGTGGATGTCTTAACAGGACACTTGGCCGCACAATGGGCTCGATTGCCACAATAGAGGCATAAACCATCACGACAACGTCTCTGCATTTCTACTTGAGTCAGGCAAGGGCGCCCAGCCCCCAACAGCATGGGTTCCTCCAAAGGCACTTCCACCAAGGGTGCCGTCTTGCTGGAAACAGATACGGTCTCTGTCTGTCGTCGCACCCGTCGCTGCTGAAGTCTAGCATCAATACGAAGATACAAATGCATGAGCTCCTGAGGGGTGCGAGGGCATTCAGTGCGCGCCAACTCATCCAGGAGCTCCAACGACAAATCCTCCTGGAACTGGTCTAATAGTGCTGCCTCATTCCATTGTACATCCTGAGCAACCACCTGAAAACTAGCAATATAATCCATGAGTGAGCCACGCCCCTGCTTCAACTCTCTCAAACATCTGTTTGCTATTTGGCTTCAAACAGGGTCCTCAAACATGGCCTGAAACTATCGGCAAAACTCGGCGTAATTGTCCAACACCTGGTTGGGCTGGGTCAGCAGAGGCGTCACCCAACATGCTGCAGAGCCTGACAACAAACTAATCAAAAACCCCATCCTATCCTGGGCAGTGGGAAAGTCATAAGGCTGAAGGCTTATGTAAAGCTGGCACTGCCCAAAAAATGCAGGAAATTGGGCCAGCGAACCATCAAATTTATCTGCTACTGGGCATTTTCGGCATGGCCAGGCAGCTTGCATTTGTGCCACCTTTG